AGGTGGATATTACGTACGGTTACCCGACAAAATTGCTTACCCGCCCATACCCATCTGATTTTTTTTTTCACCACCCTATAACGGTTGTACCCATGCTTTTTTTTGTCTTGGCCGCCCATACCTGCGTTTTTTGAACTTTTTCCCTTTTCACCACCAGTACCCGCCCATGCCTGCCCGTGATCTCCAGCAGTGCAACCGTGCCTGCCCCAAAATCCACGAATAAAATTTATGCCTGCCCATACCAATGCCCCCCTCCAGAAGGGTACCCGTACCTGCCATAACCAGCCGGTTACAGTTGGGTACGGTCGGGTACGGGTAACGGTTACCCAGTTGCCACCTCTGATTGGCACGTGCCACGACGATGGCACGCACGATCCCCTCCTTGGACTGAAGAGAGCCCATCCTAAGGAAATCGTAGGATGTGTGCCACCCTGGATGACGTCCACAGTCTTATCGAACAGTAAGTGGCAACAAAGAAGGCTCCGCGCATTGATCGATTAGAGAGATCGACACGTGTCATGATTCAAGCAAGGGGAGCTTGCTTAAGATTGGATATGTGACGAACCAATTTCTGCTCCTTGCGATTTTCTGCGCGATGGCAATGAGGGGTCCTAAGATGGGAAGGTTGGGCCAATTACGAGAGATTGGGATCGAAGGGAAATTGCATCGGTGTCCTCGCTTCTTCATCTTTTCTTTTTCGTCGCTTCTTTTCGGATGGCTGGGTTCAGGGCCGGACAAGTCCCGAGATGGGCGATTGAGTGGCTGTCGCGCCGATAAAGGCGCGAATAATAATGTTTGACGTCGCTTCCTTCTTGTTCTGTTGTCGGATTTTAGGCGCGGAGGTCGCGCGGGAAGTTTTGCTCTCTTTTTGAATTTCTTTTCGAATCCTGTCGAACCCTTGACGGCTCTCGGAACTTCGGATTTTCTTTTCGGAATTCGTGCTTCTTTGTGCATTAGCTAGGAATTTAGGAATTTAAGAATTTCTTTTGCCGAGCAACGCCTTCTGCTTGCGCGCTTCTTTTTGCGGCTGCAACGGAGCTCTGATTAATCGGCACCCTTAATCTTGCAAGTAACTGTAATTTTGGGCGGGCGCCATTGTAACTGTATCTTTCTTCTTGAGCTTCGTCTTTCCCGCTCTCTCTTTCCCTTTTGCTGTGCCTAGTTAGCTTGCGGCCTGCATGCTCGGATCGATGCATGGAGAGTGGCTACGTCCCCCACGCCGCGGTTTGGCCATGCAGAACGTAGGCGCTCCCTCTCCTAATCTCCTTTCCAAGTCCTTGCAATTCCGTGTTCTTCGCGCATGCATGCACTTTATAAATTCCGGCTGCGCGATTAGATAGCTCTCTTAACCAGTGGTTGGAAGCTCCGGGTAGCGCGATTAGTGAGGGTTGGCTCACGAGCGAAGTTAGAGGTGAGTTGAAGTGGGAGTCGGGCGACCCGACGAGCTGGTGCCGAATGCGCGGGGTTGACGCGTGGGGCTATGACGGACTGTAGCACGCGGGCGAACCTGACGGGTGCAGGACGACTAAGCAGGGTGACGAGTTCGTGGGTTGGTGCGTGACGACGGACTGTCCGCATCGGAGAGAGAGAGAGAAAGAGAGAGCTGAGGTTCATGGACGTGGATTTTTTATTTTCTTTGTCTTGTCTCCCTCTTTACTTTTGTATATAAATTTTGATCTCGGCTCAGGGCGACTCGTCCGTTTTCTTTTGTTTTCGGAATCCTTGTCTCGGTTTCAGCCTACACTTGTTTTGCGATTGATCTTGATCTCAACTCTTGTGTGTTTTGCCGAATGAATGGATGAATGAATGACATGATTGTCGTTTCTCGTGTCTGGCCATGATCATTGTTTGCCATTTTGATACGCTGTTAGCAGAATACGAGTTCTGATGTTGTTGCGATGTCTGATGTGTAACGACACCTTGCATGCTCGAGAATGATTGCTCGCGGATCACTGAGTGATTAGATGATTGGGTAGTTGTCCATGACATGTGGCGATTTTGCATAAGGAATTAGACTCCCATTTTTCCTGAAACAAGCAAATACCTCGCGGGGATACGTGTAAGCGCGATATGATCTGCGCAGCCTACACGTATCCACGCTCGCCGATTCACGACCATTGACGAATCTGACACCTCCGGTATCGGATAGGCTGGAATTTTCCTTCCTTCACGCACCTAAACGGATAGGAATTTTCGATATCGCATTGAGAAATTCCCTTGCTAGTTAGATACATGTGAAAGACTTCCACTACACTGTAATGACAAGATATCGGACTCATGGGACCCAGAGTACTTCGATCATTGGGTAAGAGAAGAACTCAGGCAGAGACATCCGGAATTTCCATGCCTAACCGAGAACCGATTGTGCCCCAGGGAGTTTCGCTGCGCCGTAACCAGCGACCCGAGGTGCCCCGATTACCCAACTATGTTTAACACGCAATACTTCATATCACCCGGCTTTCTCGTTATCACTACCAACTTCCCTCCCTTCCGTCTTCTCCTCCCATATCACCAGCTCACTGTGGTACCGTGGAATTCCATCGCCCCGTATTGGCCCCGCACGCCGTGCAAAATTTCAGACGATGCAGCCACCACCGAACCCCGGGGACTACGAAGTGTAACTATAAGACGAGGTGACAGATGCCACGTGTCTGCCCCCGAAGATCCGACTTCTAAGAGCCGCAACCCTCACGAGCCTTTCCGAACCGCCGTCACCAAAACAGACGGCCTCTGATGCACTGCGCATGCCGTCTGCCTTAAGCTGCACGACATCGACCGCCATCAGACCGAAAGTAACCCCCCCCTTAGTCCTATTGCATCTATGCCCCTGAATCCTTGCCACAGGAGATCTCAGTTCCGACCTGAGACTCCACCCCCACTTTCCCAAAAATCCTTGGCACACCCCTTTTCGCACTTCCAGGCCCACATCCCACTGCGATAAGGAAGTTGCGCCGGGCGTGAGGTTGGGCGTCACAGGGTTGCCTAAGCTCGTGGCCTCGCCCCACATGCCATCGAATAGTATAGTTTACTAGTCTGTGTGACAGTCGAAGGCGGGAAACCATAGTAATGAGGTGAGTCTCTTTGTGTGTTTCCTCAGAGGATTGTAAGCCTCATCACACTGGCACTTACAGAAATGTATCCAGCCATTTTCAGGGCCGAATCGGTGTTCCCATTTTTTTTCCCCTCACTCTCTTTCTGGAATCTGACAGCGGA